GGGAGGAGAAGGAGGAGGGGGAGGAGGAGGGGTAAAGGCTTTTCAGGAGCACACCAGAGCTCTCCTGCTTAAAACTCTTGCAGAATCAACACTTCAGGATATATGCCACACTCCTTTGCAGGGCTCACACAGCCCCTGCCATCTACACCCAGACCAGTCATTTGCCACTGGCCCCCTGCCATCCAGCCAGATTGCATGTCACGTCATTCAGTTCTGCATGCTCTGTCCACTGTTTTGCCCTTCTGGTTGGTTTTTGAACTCAGAGTTCCCCTGCATGGGGTACGTCCTGCCACCCAGGCTCCGTGTGGCCAACTCGAATTCTTTAACTGTGATGTCACCTCCTCCAGGAAGCCCTCTCGGACTTTGAGGCCGGTTTAGGTTTCTCTGGTGCACCCATGGCCCCTGTGCTTCCCCCACAGCTGCTCTTGGTGCATGTGCTGTAATTGCCCCTATTTACTTACTGGTCACCCCCCCCCACATCCCCCCCACACGGTGGCCTTAGTGTCCGTTTTGCTAACCATCATGACCTTAGAAGCCAGCATTTTGCCTGGCACGTGGGAGGTAACCAATAAATATTTGCTGGAGAAATGAATGTGTGCGGTGATAGATGCAGGGAGCGTGTAACACAATGCTGGAAGGGCAAGTTTGGCGGGTTGCACAGGGACGTAGACGCCATGGCAAGGCTCTGGACTCACTTGCGGTGCCCCTGGAGGATTCCGAAATATACCAGAGCCGTGGCCAGGGCTCTGCTTCTAATAGGGAATCCAGCACCACCCACCGCACATGCTTTGGGTGGGGAAAGGGTGCCTGCTCGGAGGTGGTTGTAGACTGTCCCCCGTCTCCTGGGTGGAGCCCCTTGTAACACCCCTTATTCTCTCTCCTTCTGATATGGATGGAATAGACAAGAAAAACAAAATCAAAGTCTTCTTCCCATTCTCAGCTCACAAAATAATTCTTAAAAAAAATTTTTTTTAATGTTTACTTGTTTTGAGAGAGAGAGACAGATTGTAAGTAGGGGAGGGACAGAGAGAGGGGGAGACACAGAATCCGAAGCAGGCTCCAGGCTCTGAGCTGTCAGCACCGAGCCTGACTCAGGGCTTAAACTCATGAACCGCGAGATCATAATCTGAGCTGAAGTCGGATGCTTAACCAGCTGAGCCACCCAAGTGCCCCAACAAAATAATTATTCTTGACCCGTCTTAGCTTCGTTCTGTGGAGATGATGGGGGAGCCAGTCACAACCTTAGAGCAGCACTGTCAA